TAGTACGATTATTCGGTTGGAGACGAATAGTGCGAATAACCTCACTGTTGGAAGTCCACAATGACCGTGACTGATCGAATAACTGTGACTGATAACCGAATAGCACTGACTGGTCGAAGGCAAGGATTGTTGTAAAGGAGAAAGGCAACTTCCTATCTTCAATCTTAGAGAGAGTTTCATGGATACGGGCCTTCTTTAAAAATCACAAACCCAAGAATAGTTACATATGTAACCCAAGAATATTTTTGTGCTACAGGGCCTCCGACGAAAGGGGAATTTTTGTGCTACAGGGCCTCCGACTATTTTGCAGAATAATAAAACTTTTCACAAAATCTTTTGTTGTGAGTGCTGAATTTTCTTTTGCCCCCCCCCCCCTCCACTTTCCAACCTGTGTTGAAGCCCGTGCTAGAAAGCTTTTCACTTTTAAAAATGTTGGAAAACGACCCTTTTTGAAAACGTACGACTATGGTTTCTCGTTAATTTGATACTGACTTTCTGGCCATTAGGGGCAACTAATGCTAGGGAAGGTTCGAGAAAACATTTATTTTTGACAAAAAATCGTTTTAAAAATTGCTTTGCAGCACACCCTTTGAAGTTACGTAAAACACAGGAAATATAAATAGGAAAACAAAGAATTAATGGTTCTGACTTATCGAATAGTAATGACTGATTAGCTATATTCACAGGTTGATTAAATTACAAGAAATTTTCAGATTGCAGATTTTTACCACCACCCTGCCACACCCATTTTACCACACCCATATTCGTCGAATAACCGAATATTCGTTAAATTTTAAGCCGAATAACCGGATAGGAATATCCGAAGGTTTGGACAGCCCTACTAGGCGGAAACATAGAGTTTCTACATTTGAAACTCAATCAAGCTCAAGGGTTTCCAATTTATTCATGCAAATATCACAGGAATCCCAATTTAGTCGTGCACTTTCAAATGTGCATGACTAAAACCCTATGTTTGGTCATGCAAAACCATGCGAAACAATTAAAAGAGCCCTGAAAACATTACGTCATGCACTTTTGGAACGGCATGACAATGACCTTGATCGCATCGTTTCCCTGTTCGAGTTCAAAAAAGTAAGACTGAAGAGGAAGTATGCTAGTTCATGAGGAAAGAGATTTCGTGGAATGTTACCCTGCAAGAAAAAAAGCAGCAGAGAAATGAGGAAAATTAACAGTTTCGTGGTTTTAAAGAATTGATACAGCAAAATAAAAGTTGGTAGTGGAACAGATTATTCTTGTTGTGGACTGTGTTTGCTAACCATTGCAGCATCATCACCTGGAAATCCATACAGAAAGTCTTCCATTGCAAAATCATTTAAAGTTATGTCTATAAACTGCAATAGTATTAAAAGTGTTGACAAGCGAGCAGGAATCCAGATACCTTATCAGTTGATGAAAATAGCATGTTCATACAGCAGGGTATCGAAACCATCATAAATGTTAACATCCCAAGTAAAAGAAGTAAATCAAAAAGCACCCAGCCATGGATTAACAGGCACATCAAAACCATGATGCGAAAACGTGAAAAACTCTATGTCAAATATAAACACACAAAGAGTGCAGGAAATTGGGAAAAGTTCAGGAAATTTCGGCAAGAAGTAAAAAATGGAAATTCGCAGTAGTCATAAGTTTACATCAAAGATGTAGTTGGTGCAAGCCCTGAAAGACAACCCTAAAAACATTCTGGTCATACATAAAAAGCTTGAGAAAAGAAAATACAGGCATTCCAACGCTATCAACTACTTCCAAAACCCCAGCATCAACAGATCTCCAAAAGGCAAACGCCTTGAACGAACAATTTATGTCTGTTTTCACCAATGAAAACATAAACAATTTACCCCAACAATCACCAAAATACCCCAGTATGAAAAACATCATATTTGGTCTTGAAGGTGTAATAAAATTATTTTCGGGTATCAATCCAGACAAAGCTTCTGGTCCAGACAAACTCCCAGCTAGATACTTAAAAGAGACAGCAACTGAGACAGGAAGATTATATCACCATCTATTTACCCAATCCTACAACAAGGGAAATCTTCCTTCTGCATGGAAGCATGCAGTTGTTTGTCCTGTGCACAAAAAAGCATCTAAAAGCCTTCCAGCCAACTACAGACCGATATCCTTAACAGCCATCCCCTGTAAACTCATCGAACACTGCATTGTATCCAAGATATGGTCTCATCTTAATAAATATAACATTATTACAAATAAACAGCATGGTTTTCGGTCAGGGATGTCATGCGAAACACAACTAATAGAGGCTATGAATGACTGGACATCCACATTAAGTCAGGGCGGTGGCCAAGTGGATGTTCTCCTGCTTGATTTCAGCAAAGCATTTGACGTTGTCCCACATCGCCGCCTTTTATGCAAACTTGAAATGTATGGCATCTCAGATCTAACTTCCAAATGGATAGGCGAATTCCTAACCGGCCGAACTCAGGAAGTTGTTGTAAATGGTACTACTTCTAGTATTGGCAAAGTGTCTTCTGGAGTTCCTCAGGGTACTGTTCTGGGCCCTCTGTTGTTCTTGATGTATATCAACGATATTGGGAAACCCCTCCATAACACAATACGTCTTTTTGCTGATGATTGTACTTTATTTAAGTCCATCAAATCAAAAGAAGATGCGCACCTCCTACAAAAAGACTCTTCAAATTACAACAATGGGCCATCACCTGGCAGATGGCTTTTAACGTAAAAAAGTGCAAAATGCTCCGTATAAGCCATAAAAAACTAAAAAGATCAACTTCGAGTACAAAATGTTCCAGTCATTCAGTGGCAATTCTTCACAGGAAAACGATGCTTCTGAAGAAGTTTTTAAATCAGCCAAATCTATATTTGATGATGGAAATATATCTAAACTAAATTTTTACAGCTTGGAGGAGACTACGTCTGAACGTTACCTTGGAGTGATTATAGATAATAAGCTAAATTTTAATGAGCACGTAAATTACATCTCAAACAAAGCCACAAAATTGTTAAACCTATGTCGCCGAAACTTGTACATGTGTCCCCCAGAATTTAAAGCTACAGCATACAATGCAATTGTCCGTCCCCACCTAAATTACGCCTCAGCATGTTGGAGTCCACATAGAAAGAAGAACATTGACAAAATTTAAGCTGTCCAGAGACGAGCTGCAAGGTTTACATTAGATTATCATGTTTATGGCACAGATGCTCAGTTGACACAGAAAATGAAATCATTAAACTGGCTACCACTACAACACCAACACTGCATCCATGACCTTCAAATCTTCAAAAAAATTTGAAACAACATGCTCAACATCTCGTTTCCAGAAATTGTCCTTTCCTCAACCAGAAATCCACTCAAATATCAAACAATTCAATGCCTCCACTCTGAAGCTTTCAAAAATAAATTCTTCGTAAGAACAGTTCGGATTTGGAATAAATACGACGTTGCTAAAACGAGGAACAAGCGGAACAACCCAGTAACAACCTAGTAACAAGCGGAACAACCCAGTAACAAGCAGAACAACCCAGTAACAAGCGGAAATGTGAATTAATTGTATAACACATGGGGGCGTCTATAATCCAACTCTCTGAAGTTCGTGTGGGCTAGAACTATCAAGAGGCCGTCAATCATGTCTTCGTCTGTTTCGGAGGCTTTGTGATTTTGCCAACGGACAGAGAGAATCTATGGACCCCGGATCGGGACGAAAAATAAATAGTAAAGCATGCCTAAAGGGGTGTATGTCAAAATATTTATTTATTTCAGTTCTGATGTCGTTATATTTTGTTACAATTTATGAAAAAATATAGATGTCGTTGACAGTTAAAAGCTGCGGGATTTCATTTTTAAAACTTTTAGGGCTCGAGATTAGGCTATGCGCGGAATTAACACGAAAGTCCATGCTCCAACTGCTCGGATTAATCTAAATTTGCAAAAATGCGCGGACGGGATTTGAGCAAAAAATTATTGCGCGGGGAACGCGCTCCCCGCGCATACCCAAACTTGCAGTCTAGGGCTAGTGGACTTACATGCTAAATTTCCATAATATGTAGCTTGAAATATTCAGAATGAATGTCTCTAGAACTTGTTGTTAGTAGAAGAAACACAAATGTTTCATTGTTGTTGCTCGTTAGAAACATGCAATGCAAGTTTGAGATACAATGACGCATGAAATTAGTGTTGTCTTAACCTTTTCAATCTTTATCTTATAATGGTCTTTTTTGTTATTGATGTTGTGTAAGATGAGAGTTTAAAGATTGTTTCAGAGGAGAAATCTCTATTTTCTAATTATAATCTGTATGGCCAAATTAAGAATAATGAATTTAAAAGAAATGAGGTGTAGCATGAACATTGACTAGGGGGCATTAATTTTTTTATTTGTAAAAATAACACTATTTGTACTTGTAAGTACAATAGTTCTAAGTAAGGAATTAGGGAAGGATCATCGAAAGTGTATCTACCTTGTCATGTATCAGAGCAAAACAATTTAGACATTTTATATAATGTTGTGATAATCAACTAATCGTGTTGTGTTATCTAAAAATACCTTCCTTCAGTATCTGACAGTTTAATCAGATGAATCAAACTGCTTTTGAAATAGTAAATATGAATAAATTGAATGTCAAGTTAACATTAAAAACAAGTTTAAATTTTCAATTTCAGATTTTAAAAACATATTTAGCACCTAAAGCCAAGGCTTCTTCAAAACATGTCTCAAGAAAGGTCGGATTTTTGCAAATTATTAAATGTTTTAGTCCATCCTAAGGCTTTTCTTGATATTTTCACAATAGCTGAACACTTTTCTCGAGGGAACTGATCCAACCTTAACTTAACTTGGTACCTTGCTGTGGTGCCGAAAACCCTGTAAATTTTTTTGCCCAAGTGCATGACCAACTCTCTAGAGCTGGCTTCGCCACTGAATTTCCACGGCCCACCCCCACCCCTTTTTTGTCGGATACATTGTTGATTCAAAATTCTAAATGAAAAACAAAGAAAAAAATTTCCCAACCTTGTGAGTAATCTTTTCCATCCTCCAATGTTGTACCATCAAGCTTCGTTCCAAAAGCATTAATTTGCCTCCCGAAATTGGCAAGGTTCTCCTAAAGTTGAAAACAAATCATACTGCTAAAGTTACATTTCATTGCAAATTTTCAGACAATATCTGCTGGAAAAGACTTGTTTTGAAAACTATCCAGCCATACTACAATTCCATATAACATTGAAACCACTCCTAATATTGTTAGAGCATCAGCTGATGTCTTCATTTTAACAGCAAAATATCTTAACAGTGAAAAAAAAAAAAATTTTAGAACATGTCATTAAGAATTCTGGCCTAGCTCTTTGCTTTTATGGAAAACAATTCTCAACCTGAAATCTAAACAGAACCACCCTAAGAAAAAGGGGGGGGGACAGAATCTTAACTTTAAGTAAACTTTTAAGTGACAAAACGCTCAATTTGAAAGCGGCTGTAAGTGTCCAGATTTTCTGAAAAAGTCTTTGTAAAAATCTTTTGCTTTGTGATTTTTGATGATGGCTCACAAAACCCTTGTTCTTCCTTTGCTTTTTCTTCAAGTACATTTCATACTTGAAGGAGGGGCATTTGGTAGTGGGTGCGCTGAGTACACTGTTTGCAACAATTTCAGACTCTAACTACCGAAGGCCTTTTATCAGAATCTCTCTCTTCATAGGTAGATTAATCTTCCAGCTGAACATTCGCTGCTCCGCCATAGTGCCTCCAACTCTACTAGGTTACTCTGCAAAAGGGGCTGACTTCAGTATAATTTCCCAGTAAGGTTCAGAAAATTTTCAATTGAAGTATTGCTGTTTAGTTAAAGAGTACTCTATGTCATTATTGCAAAAGCTAAGATTGATTGTTCAGATGAAGGGGGCCACTTTGTTGGGCAGCAGAAAAGGCTTTGCAACTATGACATTCTAGAGACAGCTGAAAATTGGATCTAGGATATTTACAACATTGACTGAGAACCAAAGGTCCTAGGTGCAACAGACAAATATTCTATCATAATTATGGACCATTGTTCTATTTTGTTTGATATTTAATTGTGCCTTGAAGATTGGGCAGCTTTGAAGCGCAAGAAATTGAACAAAGTTTAAGTGAAGGCAGGAATTAAAGAACACAATTTTAGGACAGACTTTGTTGTTTTCCTGAGTGTGGCTTTTCTAGCAAAACATGATCCATTTTTGGAAGAAACAATTAAACTTTGAGGAATTCCTTGAAATAGATTAACCTATAGTTCTTAGAAACCTTTTCACCTGATTCACATTCTTCAAAAGGGGCGCACAATTTCTAAAAAAGGGACGCCAGACTTGCTTTAACTCAGTGAGGGAGGGTCAACTGCTCCTAGTTCCCCCCCCCTTAAATCCACCACTGAATAAGAAAAGACTCAAACCATTATTATACAGTATCAAAAGAAGCTGAGAGGTCAAGGAACTGAAACCCTTTAATTATCCCTAGCCACAAATAAATTATTTTGTACTTTTGACAGAGCAGTCTAGTGATATGACCTTCCTTACATGCTGACTATGATAGTTCAAATAAGTTATCCTGCTGTATATGCTCCAGCATTTGGTCAGCAACTGCATTTTCAATCATTTTAGAAGCATAACAAAGTTGGAGATTGGTCGAAAATTAGGCTTCAAGATTTCAACTCCAATTCGTTTCAATAATGAATAAGTAATGTCAATTTCAAATATTCAGGCATAGCTGCTGATTGCGACAGCCAAGCACCCATTCTGGAACTAGATCTAAATTACCAAATAGTTTTATAATTTCATTTTCATTTTAACTGCACAAATTGCTGTTTTTACTCCTTACCACTTTCCTCCTTTTCTTGGAAGACAAAACTCCCAGTCAATATTTGCAGCAGAACAACAATTTGTTCTATGATAGCTTTCTTTGTGTCATTAGTTTGAAACAAACACTGTTTTGTAATTGTGCAATGCAATTGCTAACTGCATGGCAATATTCTTTTGAGCATTTCCAAAATAAACAAGATAAAAATTCCATTATTCTGCATAATTAGCTTAAGAACAAGGCTGAGTTATCATTGGGTTGCCAAAGTAGGCATTACAGCTGAGCTGTAGAAGCTTTTATTGCTTGAGCTTGTGCTAAACTAAGTCATATTTTGGAATATCATCAGATTCCTTTCATGCTGTCATAAATTATGCAAAGCTGTTACAACATAGGATATCACCCCAGCAAAGCTTATGTGTCTTTAATTTTTGCATGACTTGCATGAGACATAGAAATAATAATGATATACATGTTTATACAGTGCAAAACTCTATCATCAACAAGGGTGCTTTAAATAAATGATAAAAAATGCAATAGTAATGCTGAGGCAATGTAAAAATATAGTATAGGTGATTATAATATTATATACAAAAAATCTCTCTTTAAAAAATATCTTAATAACAGTAGATAAGTTGTAATTTATTGCACTTCTCATCCAGTCATGAATTGAATATACCAATTCAACTTATGGTCTCCTTTTGGAAATTCCTCCAAATTTCATTGTATGACTTGTGTTCAGGTTTTATCACCATAAGTTTTAACCAGATACAATTTTTAAATTTTTCTGCTTTTATTTTAGAATTTACAGAGAAATGTAGAAGACTTGCAAAGGATTTGATAAAAAATTTGTTTAATTCAAAAATGTACCCCCTAGTCCCCAATCAGGGTCAAATCCCTTAAAAAATTTGTATCTTTAAGTTGTCATAAAATAAATATTGTGAGCAATAACATATTGAAAATTTCCAAAAAGGCTAAAATTCTTGCTCTCATTCCTGGGGTCAAAAATTTTATGCAAAAGAAATTTTAAATTTTTTCAAATCAAGGCTGTAATTTGAATTGGTGTTCTTTTCTTTCAAGAAAAATGTTCTTTCAATAACACCTCTGAAGGGAAAAAAGGTTGCACTGACCTTTTAATGCTATCCTTGCCATTTTAACTTGGGGTGTTTTATACTATTTTTTAACTATAATTAGCATATTGTACACATGTAATTAGTCCGATTTTTAGAAAGTTCTTTGAAACAAGCCCATGCAAAGGGAACAATCTTAAGGAGAAATTCTTTGAAACAGCAAGGTCCTTGAAGCAAAAATAATTTCATTGCAGCTTTAGTTTTCAGTAGTGGAAAACAAAGATATGCTATCATTTCTTATTTTATAGTTCTGATTCAGTCTCATGGAATATGATAAAAACATCAGAATACTTGTTTCTTGTAGACATTTTAGGATTGGACATGCAGCTTTTAACTCCTTTTGGTTCAGGATATGCAGAAGTGGCTCTCGCTTGTTTGCTTTGTGTGAAAGTAAATTATATTTTGAGCCTTATTCCGGAGTCTTTCAAACATTTTTCTTGAAGGAGGCTCTTTTCCAGCTGAACATATGCAGCTATCTCTTTGTTGATCATGCAATATATTACAAACAACCATATTTTATAAAGTATACTTCTACAACCATTCTGGTATATTCATTAGGTCTTCATTCTCATGGCATTTGTTTATGTGTTTAAGCTCACAAGCATTCAAAATGAATTGCATTTAAAATTGATTGTTACTGATATTTCATTTCATTTCTCTCATTTAAATTTCTCTGTACAAAACAGCATTAAAGAAAGTAAAAAAAAATATTACTTTTCATCCATAAAACATAAGACAATTTATTTCCATTTCCTTGACGTCTTTTTATTCAATTAACAAGCTGAATCGTCAAAAAGTGTTAATTCTAGAAAAAAGGCACATACACATATAATTTTGAATTTTTCATACTCAATGCTCCTTTTAAACATCTCAATGTTTCTCAACTAACTTTGCCTACATAAACAATACAGTACACCCGCCCATAAACAGATCGCATCTCAAGTCATTCCAGAAAATACTACTCATATCAAATCAAAGTATCAATCGGGGCCAGCAAAAACCAGGGACCTGGGGGCCATGGCCCCTCCACTTTTCTGCAAAGCAAAATGATTTTTTTTGGGGCTAGAGTGAAAAGAAGTGTAATCTACCATTCGGTTAGTAACTGTGCTTACTATTACCTTAAATATGCCCTTATCTTTAGCTTGGTTACTATGCCTTTACCATAGAAGGCATTGAGAAATTTGAAGTTGGAAATTCGTTCAAAGAAATCAATTATTGTCCAGGTTCTACAAAGAGTAACAGCTTGGCTTGGAAAATAGATTGAGAATCCTGATTCACATTTACTTAGTGCTAACACAAAATTTTGCAGTTACTTAATTTTTCATTGCGGAAACTTTTTGCAACATTGTAACAAAAAGGGATAAATCAGCTGATGAAGAAAAATGAACTGCTGAGAAAAAATTTGGACAATATAAGTAATGGTCAGCAGATTCGTTCTTTGAGAGTATCATCAAGAAAGCTTCCAAGGTTGGATTGTATCAATAATCAATTCATAATAAGAAAGAGAAAAATTAGGCGTAATTATGAATTCTATTCAAACTTTTTGTGACCAGCCCAGTTTGAAATTTTTAAAATCTAGAGTCTTTTTTTTTGCTAAAAGCACTTTATTCCCGAAAAAATTAAGATCATGTTTTACAAAATAATTTTCCAACTACACAAAATTTCATAAAACCATATTTTAGTTCACAAAAGCTCTTCTACTGACACAAGCCGTGTTTCTTTTATTTTTCTTTCATTTGATTACGAGCTACATTAAAAAAGTGTAGATTAGAAAGGTTGTTCTAAAGCTTCGCAAGACCTTTCCTTTTTAAAGTCAACATTCATAGACGAATCTATGGAACATATTATTGATAAAAAAAGCTAAAATCATTCCAAACAACGTAAATGTTAGATCACAATTATGTTAGATACGGTTAAGATTGTTACAGTTTCTGGCCATCCCTAAAAATTTGTCTTCCAACCAACCATGGTGGCGGCCTTTTTAAATGTAAGGCCATATATAAATATATAAATATATAAATATGTGAATAAATTACCGCAAATCCCATTTGTTAATTGAAAACCATTATAATAAATTCACATCTTGAATGACCAGTCCCTCTATATTTCCCGCCATTTCCCAGTCTCGATTTCAAAAGCTCCTTCAAATCTTTTTTCCGCAAAAAGCGGTGTAGTTTTCTGCGACGATCACCGACGAATTGTTATTTGAAGTAATAAATTAGGAAAAATAGGAAAGTTACCAGAAATAGATGTCAATGTCAGATGCAGGCGAAGCGATAAACCTTTATTTTCGCCCCTCAAACTTACTTTGACTTCATTGGCAGAAACAATACAATCGAAAATAATTCCTAGAAAGTTCCTAGAAATCGATTTTGTTTAATTTATGTAATTCATATCTGTATCGTAAATACCAAATGAGAAAATTAGCACTCGATGAAATTTAGTGGCAAAATTTCAAAGATGAGTTCAATAATCTCCCTGACTTATTAAAAATTTCAAAGCATTGGCTTATAAAAAAGGTTTTTTTACCTGAGGGCATTCCATTCAGTTAGAAACCAACCAGCATCAAACAAGACCCCCTGGCCCTTATTTCCTAACCTCCCTTCCTCTCTAGCAGCACTTAGCAATGATTTTTAAAGTTGTCTTTTGCAAATGTGTAAGAAAATATAAATTTGGGCGAAGGAAGAGCAATCAACAAAGCAACAACAATGTCGAAACGTAGCAATTATGACAATATAGGTAGCGATGATTAGAGGTACAATTATAGGTATCGGCTATAAATTCGCCTTGAGGTTTCCAGCATCATGAAACGAGTTTCAAACACATTTGCCCATATTTGTATTGTACTTTTTCTTCTACCCACTATCACCTGTAATTTTAGAATTTCGGTTTCGGGATGGTTGGTTGATAATCTTTCAAAAGATTCAGCAACACACTCTGCAAATATTAAAAAAGAGTTCATGAACGGACAAGAAGGCAATTGTGCCTTATTCTACGAGCTGGCTTTAGCTACCTTAAAATTTACCAATAAATGTTTTGCATTCTTTCATTACCAAAAAACAAGTTTTGCTAGAAGCAAATCAACTGAGGTGCTGTCTCCAACATTCATTCTGCTCATACATTTTCTGAGTTCTGAAAAATGGAAACGAAATTGTTCCACCTTTTTTACCTTTAATTCTTCCTTAAAGTTTAGTTCAATTTTTCGATCTAAATACTACGCAAAATGACTTCAGATCTGCAACTGGTTGCCTGAGATATGGACAATAAATGATATGTAGTTTGCCAACAGATAGATTACTGTTATTATGGCATTTTGGTTTGATGAGGAAAATCCTGTACTCATTGATGAGAAAATTTGTAACAGATCTAACGGACTTTTCACAATGAAATGTATCTGATCAGGGGCGGATCTAGACGTTCGCACCGTTCGCACATGCGACAGTCAAACTTTTGAAATTATACTAAGAATCCGTCTCGAAAAAGGTTTTTCCTGAACAACAACTTTCTCGCTTATTGGCAATTTCCCATTTGTGTTTTAAATGTATTTGCTCGGGAATTATGCTTCAGTTATATTTGACAAATGAACACCGTGCAGGAGCAGGAATATCCAAGGACTGAATCATGCCATGAACACAAGCAAAATCTTAAACACCATCTCTAATTCTATCTCGATCTTGATTCAATCTGATTCAAATCTCAAAGCATCCTGACTTAAAAACAACAGGGTATCAATGTAGTTAGATTAGGGTATTTCGGTGCACAGTATGATTAGTAGCACGTTCGCACCGATTCGCACAGCTTTTGTTTTAAAATATTCAGCCGATCAAATGGCTAGATAGTGCGAACTTCGGTGCACAGTATGCTTTTTAGTAAGGTCGCACCACTGGGCAAAGATTAATCCGTCCTCATTGCGTGCTTTGTACAGTTTTGAGCTTATTTATGCCTGGCATGGGGAAGTTTTCTCACTGGCGAAAAGGAATTTTGTGTTATGGAGTCGACTGGCTACATGAATAACAATTACGTTAAACCTGGTATTTGGAAGACAAAGGTCGCTAGATTTTTAGAGTAACGTTTGACACGGGATGTTTTCAAGTTTCGATATTCAATACCTCCTCCATGGATCGAGGGCCTACTAATGTCAATAAATGCACTGGACTGGGGTGATACCTGCGAATTGCCTCTGGCAAAGAAATAATGTTCAGGAAGTTGGCAGAGTGAACTTTTTATTTGGACAAAACTTTCAAAGTGAATCTTTTCAATGTGGATTGTCAGTTCCTTATCAGCTTTCAGATATTTCCGGGTAATGCTTACTTGCTTAGGTATTCCCCTGAATTCGAAGGGGTTTTTTCGAAGTAAAATACATGTTTACACGCTGATTTGGTTTAGCTATTAAATAATATTAGTTATTAATGCAGGTTTTTATCAATATTTGTGTAAATTTGTTCTATTTGGTTAGTTCTGAAAATTCATTGCAATGATATTTTTTTATTTTTTGTGTGTGGCCTGTTTTGTCACCGTATACCATAAACAAATCGAAAGAGACAACTCGAATTTTTGCTTGATTATGAAAGGAAAACCGTGTCAATACGCTTAAGAATTTTAAGTTGTTTCTTGCTTTACGCTTGGCTAAGAAACATCACAAATGATTCTGTGGTATCAATTGAAAATTCAGATAAGGAATAAACAACAGTTTGACCACGTTCTAAATGAAAGCCAATTTAATGTGCGTGTCGACTGCTCAAATGAGAAATATCCTTAAAAACTATGGGTGTGGTCTCGAATGATATTTCTGACCACACCCTTGTGTGCGACAGTCAGAATACTTTCTAGATCCGCCCCTGTATCTGATGATGTTCTTTTGGGCTTTTTTGGGCAAAATCCAAAAATTCTTAAAGTAGATTTTTATGTCATTACGTCATCAATTTTGCACCCTATTGCTAAATACTTAAAGTCTTGGTCTCTTGAAGTCATTCTTATTATAACAAGGAAGTAACTAATGCAACTAATACACATTTTTGCTTGTGTACGTACCATGACGGTCCACTTTCGGTTTTCTGCCTCGTCCCAAACTAAAGACCGGTCTGAATAAAAAACTTCTTCATCAACTTCGCATTCGTTTGGTTTGCGAGGCAAGCAGTGCAAAAAGCACCAATTTTCAGCTGCCAATGACGTAAGCTAGAGTGCAAAAATCGAAACAATGAGGAAAATTTGCCTTACAGTCTTCTGAAGGAATCTATGCAGAAATTAAAATGTTTACAGTTGCGATCTTACCTTCTCTTCAGATTTGAAAAAAATCTTCAATTGCATTTGTAAAAAATCATTTGTAATTGCAAATCACACAAAACCATCGACATATTTTTAAATTGTTTAAGCCCAACATGCTTCACTATGATATGATTGCAAAATAACTTCAATAAACCTTCTAGTGAGAAATTATGTTCTAAATATTTATTCTAATGCCAACAGAAGCGAAAGAATTGAACATTATTGACTAACCATTTTTTCAGGGTTTTACTCTATGCCTTGACCATATGCTAAAATCATAATCTACCATAGAAAACGAGTTTTAAAGCTTACTTTCTTAGTAACTTGAAAATCAGCAAAAGTCTTTAATCTATCTTTCCTTTCTTGTTCTTGCCCAAAGTTGATCCACGTATCAGTGACAATAATATTGGCATCTTTGCACGCTTCACGGGGGTCGTTAGTGTATTCTATTTTAGTAGAGCACTGAAAAGAAAGGGGGATCACTTCTTGAATCGGGGAGGCAGTTTACCAATCAAGGGCAAATGATCTCAGAGGCAGCAAGTAATCTCTCTAATTTGTAGCAGGGGCACTTAAGACTATAATTGCAAGCTTTTTAGACCTGTCGTCAAAAAGGATTGTTCCTAAACTCTTGAAGACGCTGTAGCCTTCTCATCAGCTCAGGAAAATAAAGCATTTATTTCTGAATAAAGTTTTTGTTACTTGTGTGGTTAAAAGTGCTTTAATCTTAAAATCAACATTTCGATCTATGTCATGTACAGAAGCAAGGAGAACGAATTAGTAAAGATTTAGTTTTACTTACTTGAGACCTTTATTCAAACTCAGAAGTAAGGCAAGGTTGTTACCTGTTCAGCGAATTCACCTGCTATTTTAGCTATGTCAGGTAGCACCTCATAACCCTGGAAATATTAATTATATTGAAATAAAATTTAACGAAAAATGTAAAGAGAGAAACTAACTAAATACAGATTGTCGTTCGAACTGGATAAACAAATTTACAAAAGTGTTATTTTTAGAAATCGTTAATCGACATAAGAAGGAAAATGATATGGCAGTGTGTCTCGGTTTTAGAGACATTCCAGAAAATACCTTTGGTGTAGCAATGTTTAAGTCTACACCAAGTCTTGGAGCTGCCATCATTAACGAGTTGATGATATTGTTACCATCTCCAACCCAGGCCATTTTCAACCCGTGCAAGTGTCCATAATGTTCCTATTTAGCAAAAATAAAGACAAAAATCAAAGGTCAGAGATCGCAAGACAACAAAAAATGTCAAAGGTTAATTTCCTTTTCCCTGAAAATCAAGAAAACATGTTTTAGTTTACATGATAAAACAGTACTGGCTCCTTTTTTCGCATATGGCAGAACTGCTTTCATTAGAAATATAAACCAACAGCCATCGCATCAAATGTTCAGAAACCTCATAGTTATATCTGGTAAGTGAGATATTAAGACTGGACTTCAAGAAAGAGTTTAGAACAGTAACAGGTTTACCAACAAAGTTTGGAAATCAGCCAAACACTGCAAAGGATGGTAAATTTCCGAGAGTCCACTGCAAGGAAAAGGATGCTCGTTAAAAATAAACAGGACACAAAACGTAGCATAGAATTGTTCATTCAAACAGTGGCACACTCGGCCTAAGTTTGGTTTATTGTAGACTAATGGCTTCTTGTAGACTGGTTGTAAAGTGATACGAAGCTATATTTTAATCAACGACATTAACAAAAAGTCCCGCCAGCTTGTAGTGTAAATTTTGAAGTTCTTCCTGTGAAATGACAAGTCTAACCTGATGGCAACTAGAGACGCAGATATTGGTGAAATGATCCGTTCCCCTTTTCAAAAGCAAACAAACCTTTGTCAAATAAGCAAGCAAGTTGATGTGGCGGGCGGGTTGATGCTTTATTTGAATTCAATAATAGATTTGCTTTATTCCAAAATATTCAAAAAGTGCTTTCCTTTTCTGGGGTGCAATTGGATACCTGTACATAAGTTTTCTTGGGCAGCACACCTAAACTGCATAAGCCAGTTTCCACTAGCTGCATTTGCTGATGACTGTAACCTATCAGTGCTTCGTGAAACATAAAAGCTAAAACATCTATTCATAATTCATGATGCAGTTATTGGTCAACTGAGCAGTTCAAAAATAGGTTTAACAGACGTGGAAAACGTTACAGTGCGCCTTTAATATCACTTGTCTAGGTCAAAATTTAAGGTAGGCTCGACATCAATACTGAAGAGATACAAAATCTAGCAAACAGGATTTCAAGGATAATTGTCAAACAAAGCTGCTTTTCACTAAAAAGAAACTGTCAGAGATAAGATACACCATTAAAGCAAGCATGTGTAGCCTTCCTTTCTGGCCCACAAAATAGAACAGATTTAACATATAATTGATAAAAATACCCCAAAATAATACAGTGGCTTTATCTACAAAGTTCCTCTATTTTACATCTTGATAGTAAATTTACGAAAAATGATTATGGGTACTTGACAATGGGTACAGATGCTTGGCTAGCCAATTCTTCTTGATCAGATTGACAGTAAACTCTTGCGAGCACAATGTCGCTAAGGCGTGACAACACTCTGGAAAGCAAGGAAACCTTTGAAAAAATGAAGAGATAATAATACACAAAAAGAGCTCGACATGTCTATAGAAGATTATGGGTAGAAGTTGCGAGGAGTCTAGGGGCTATAACCCCGTCAGAGCATAAACGTAGGACAAAAAATGAAACATAGCCAAGTTTCTTATCATCATTTTAACGTTTTATGTTTCTTTGACAGTTGTAAAGAATTCAATGGATATTATTTACAGAGCACTAAACATTGTTGATTAGTTCAGGGTCGACAAAGTGCATCTTTTTCAAAGGTGCGAAAGTTATGCAAATTATTCTGCTTTTAAGCTAATGCTGTTTTTCGGGCAACTTCAATAGAACGAGGACGAGGGTTTGCAATTTTGAAAAATGAAAAATATCCTAAAACTTTTAAATTTTCAAATAATATTACCCCCAAAATTAAGACAATATGAAATGCATACCGTTAAATTCAATACAAAATTGCTAACGTATTAACTTTCTTTTAAAAATGATACACCAAAATTTAAGGTCATGCTAAAAATAAATCCCAAAAATTATGACCATGTCTGATTTTACCAAAATTGTTACCCCAAAATGTAATTTTTCACTTGAAAAAGGAACCCAAAGAATGGCATATTCTGTACCAGTCAGTATCAGGGGCATCACTTGAGGGGGATATGGGGGGAGGGGATGGTTCACCTCCCCAACCAGGAAAATTGGACTGGATCTTCTCGCATGGCAAAAATGGTTTTCGCAGGGCAAATGTTTTCTACCAATGGATCTTCTTTGTTGTTTTTCTTATATAACTGTAACAAAAATGTTATGCTTGGAATTTGTCTGTTCCAAACGTTAAATGATAAAGACTACCAGTGACACAAAATAGGAATTGCCAGTGTAAGCTTTGATTAGATTTCTAAATAGATTCTGATTTCTTTTCACTGTGGACTCAAGTGTTACACCCTTCGTCGTCTTATTTTAATAGCCATACAAAAAGACAAGCACCGCTTGCCAGAAAAGTAAAAAAAAAGATGTAATCCCAACTGGACATTACCACGCAGCCTTCTTTGGGAGAGGTCTGGTATCCAGTTTGTTGCTAAAAAAGTATTCCTAAATCAAAGCGGCGCGTGTCAGAAGAGAAATACTACAGTATTGTTGCTTGAAAGCTTGTGACTGTAAACCGAGTGTGACACTGTAAACGGGGCCATTTGGGTCTTAATTTTATTGAAAAGTTTTGCATAGTTGGGTCTAAATTTGATCTGGCTGTAACCAGTAGTGTGATTTTAAGCTGAGACGACTGTATGCTGTTTTTAATATCTATTCTATTTTTTGCGGATGATTTAGTGTGTACTGTATAAATTCCTGTAGGTTTTCAAGCTTGTGTTTCCAGACAAAAATTATGTCATCGATAAATCTTTTCCAAACTATGTACGACGCCTTATCGGGACACTGCGGTGCCTTGAAGGATGTTAATGAAATTTACCATTACACTCTTTTTGATAAGAACCAGTAAATTGAAATTCAGGCTGGCTGTTTTTAACTTTTTGGAAAATCTGAGGATGGATTGTTCGTAATTTTTTATTAAATTATAAGGTGTGCAATTGCCCTCTAGGGAATTGGTCAAGCCTCGTTTGCCACCGAAGTAAGTAAGACATCCTTTATTTTCCGACAAGTTTGAAAGTTCGCCGAATAAGGACCTCTAAATGGCAACAAAACTCCTCGTTTTTTAGATGAAACATTGTTCAAAGTTAAATTTTACAGCAGCTCAGCCTTCGCTTGGTTTTAACTTTATTTAGAGGCTTGTGTTTTAATAAAATGTTCTAATGAAAAAGAGAGTGCAAAGGCAATATAATTTTGTTTGAGAATAAAGATCACCATTTGTTTTATTCAATATGCAGCAGGCTGGTTTCTCCATAATGATTTTTGATGGCATTGAGGGAAGCTTTGATACACTCATCTTGAAAAACGTTTGTGTATAGTGACTTTACAAATTGGTGTAACGAAATCAGTGGGATGCTAGTGTGCATATCGAAAGCGTGCTGCAAAAGTAAGGGCATGCTCTTTAACTTCAGGATGGAGGGTTGTCTCACTCATCATAAAACTTTCTCTTGCTTGCTTCCCCAAGGTTAGGTAAACACGTCGGTGTCCTGGTGGATACAATAGGCAAAGGCCTAAGTGGGTACGAGTTACCTTGATAATTAGTTTAGTGTTACGGGAACCGAGGGCCGGTTCCCCAAATTTTCAGCTTTTGCCATGGCAAAATTTTTCTAAAGGGCAAATGTGCAGCCACCCCCCCTCCCCACAAAAAGTATAAAGTGATGCCCCTGGTCAGTATATGTGGAAGTTACAAAGGTTTTTTTTACACTGAGTAGGTTTGGTTAGGATGGTTCACTTGTGCCTTCAGCAATCTGCGTATCCCAACTTACATTAGATAGACCAATTTACCTGGCTCACAATCATACAAGCAGAGACAATAGGCAGTGACATACATATTATAGTGTTGAAAGAATAATCTTGAAAAACTTCAAACTATTAAGGATATAAAAAGGTATAACCAAAGCAGGAAAAAGTAGCTGCATAGTAAGCTGTAATATAACCTTGCAGTGTCTTTGACTGTCTCGTTTGCACCAAGATGTACATCATCTGGACTAAGGAAGATAGCATGACCTCCGAGAACCGAGAACCCTGTTATCGAGATTATAACATAAAGCCTGTTGTACATGTCAGTCAACATAAAATTTCATTACATATGCTTTTTAGCCCTCATCTTAGATGCTTAGAATCCAAGGGTACCATAATTGTTTTCTCTTTGGTTACTTGTCGAATATAAAGTTTTTGCACGAAAGAGCTACCCACTGGTCCCGCTAAATCTACAATGACAACATTGGCCCTGATTTCGATTCAACCTAATTATAAATAGGCACCTATTTGTATTGTTTTATAATATTGTTTGATAATGGGGGTAGGGGGGGGGATTTCTAAATATATGGCCCAGATCTTATATGGTATAAAAGTTGACCTTCAATGAATAGCTTTGTGGCCCTTTTCATTGAATGTCAGAAAAGGTGGACATTATGCACAAAACGGATTTGTGGAAGTATGAAACAAGCAGAATCAGTTGCAGGACCAACAAGTAAATGAGAGGAAAATACTGCCACTTTTCTTAAAGCATGGTTTAGATTGTTCTTAAAAAATATGAGAAATACACTGTGTAGGGGTAGTAAATCAATAGAATATGTTAGGAAAGCTAAAAATATGGATACCTCCTTCAGCGGATGTTCTTGTTCGTGTGCTTTTCTTTTGGAATATCATAGCAAGGGTTTTCCCTTCCAGTGGTCTGAAACTCTAAGAAGGGCAAACTATAATAGATGTACTAAGTAAAATGACAATGAGCATGACAACGAGCGTAACAACGAGTAAAATGATAATGTCTAGCTATTTCCTTAGCGTGGAAGCTTTTAACTCTCTACTCCTTACTTTCTCCTACCATCTACTCTCCACTCTCTACTTTCTACTCTCTACTTTCTTCTCTGTTTCTCTTCGACTTTGTGCCGTGAACATTGTGTACGTTCGTGGGTGTGGTCTTCCAATCTTCCAATTGTCATTTCGCGGTGTAACATAAATGGGTTTCAAATCTTATCCAAAGACACGAGCTATTGCAATGTATTTGAAACAAAAAAGTCCTATCGGTTCTCGAAAAAAAATAGATGACCAGGTGGACAGTGAAGTTTAACAAGAAGGAAATTACTCTTCAGAAAAAGTTGAAAAACACATCGAAGATGTAAAAGAAACAAATAAACGGAATCTAAGCAGAAAACATTAGGTCAGCGCTTAGAAGAAAATGAAGTCTGCAAGTAAAGATAACATTTTCTTTTTGATTAGAAGATGGACAGCCTGATTTTTTCTAATTTCTTATAAATGGAGCAAAATAGAAAATTTTCAATCTAATGTTCAAATATGAACAATATTTCAAATTTAATTCATTTACATTCATTTCTTGGAGTGTCTTAGTTTACTATTCAGCATGATTCTTGAATTCAAAGATGTTTTTTGACAAGAAAGCATCATCGAAGAGTTTTTGAATTGATATATAAGAAATCAACCAGCCTCCTACAAAAATAATTTTTTGCATAGAGGAGATAGAAAGCTAGATATAAAACTTCATTTTCATTTCAAGCGGAGAGTTACTGTATTATATATAATTAATGCTTATAACGATTGAAAGGATGTAAAGTAATAACCTCGTTGTTGCATTTGATTCTGTGCTTTAGATCCAAAGCTGTCCATAGAAAATTCTTTATTTCATCTCCACTGAAGTCTTTCAAGGCTAAAAAATCCTTGCCAACGAATGAAGAGCTGTAGATAATAGCAGAATTAAGGTTTTCTTATCTAATCTTAAATTGAGAATAAATCATTATACACGGAACAATCAAAAACAAGTGTTGAAATGATTTAAGACGAACAACAAATCCGTTATCACGATACCAGCACCGAAGGATGATGGGTTGATATTGGGAAATATATGATATCATATGATATTATGTTATATTATATTATGTTACATTATATTATAGTACATTATATTATTTTATATTATATTATATTATATATATTAATATATATATATTATATATATATTATATTATTTATTATATTATATTATATTATATATATTAATTAAATATTATATTATTATATATATATATTATATTATATTAATTATTATTATATATATATTATATTATATTACATTACATTACATTACATACATTACATTACATTAACATTACATTATATCTATATTATATTATATTATATATATTATATTATATTATATTATATTATATAATTATATATTATATATATTATATATATATTATATTATATTATATTATATTATAAAATTCATATATAATTATTTATATTATATTATATTATATTATATTATATTATATTATATTATATATTACAATATGCTAATCAAACTTTTATTATATTATACAACAATATATTATACTACATTATATTTAAAAAAATGATACTGAACGGGACAAGGAGCGGATAAAGCGACTGGGAACTTTTGGGGAAACTAGATGAATTTCTGAATGAGTGGCTCTTAGAAAGGAATCTCTCACAGTCATAGCATTTGCATGCTGGCAAAGATACATTTGTGAAAATAAGAAGGCCGAAACAAAATAAGCCAAAATCATTCGGGATTTTTCCCTTTAGTTCAAGAATATGTCGAAGAAAATATTGACAGCATTAGTTTATAGCAGGTAGCCAAGTCCACAGAGTTCCTTACATTACACTTAGCTTGCAAACCAATTGCTTGCTACGCAGACAACATATTTTGAAATTTTCGCTCTTTATATGGACCCATCTATTGAAGCTTTCACTTTGCAGTCAAAGAAAGAAGACTTTGTTTCTGATTCAAACAGCTCAAACATAAACGTAGATTAATTCAAAGTTACAAAGAAACCGTTTATATAACCTAGGAAGTTCTTCTAGAAGGTTCTAGTAAATACAATCAACCGAAAGTTCTCGTAAGTTCTTTTCGAATGTTCTAGCACAAGGTAAAAAGCTAGTTCTTTCTTGAATGTTCTTTGTATGTATCTGACAATAGTGTTCAATTTCCAAAACTATTGTGTATCATGATTTATTTTTCTTTATCGAGCAATTTGCCCTGCAAATGAACTTTCAAGTAAAAGTGAACTTTGCTTATAAGAATCGCACACCTGGTAATAAACTCTGTTTTAGAATTCTAGCTATAACCTGAATAAAGATGATGACGATCATAATATTGTTAGCGACCGACGATAATTGGCTATGGCAAAAGCGTTGGCGAAGGTGAATTGCGGGAAAACACGAAAGTTGGAAAAAGGTCCCGAGGTGAGGAATTTGAAGGAATAGTTGACTTTCAATTTCACCGATCAACACAAAGGTTGATATGATCTGAGTTGAGAGCCATTGAAAGCAACGTAACCACCTTAAGATTCATCGGCTAGCAACTGGAATGGAGTCAACGCGCATGTCAAAACAACGTCAAATTTTACAAAAAAAAGTTCAAATTGTGCCAAGTTTTCATTTCGCTTTTATTGAAATCATTTTTTCGCGTTTATCAATTTCATATATTCATTGTTAAGCGGTTTGGCACGTTTCGTGTCTCTATATACCTAGAAATATATGCATGATAAAAATAAAGGCAGGTATACTGCCGCTGTGTACAAAGAATACTGGTACTCTTGAGATGCTGTTGAAGACAGTTATGAAATCGTCGAAGTAAGTAAATTTTCTTCGTACACAAAAATTCGTTTATTTGTTGCAAAAATAATAGAGATAAGACGAATTTCTTCATTGACAGGTCCGTCTAGAGTCAATGATGAACTTTATCTATTATATATTTCATATATATTAGACATCTATTATATATATCATATTTCAATATCAAAACTTTGCGGTATTGCCGTTTTATGGTTGGCAGTGCATCCCTGGCAATTCATTAGTCTGAGGAAAATCTAAAGACCGACCAACAAATGCTAGGCAAAGCTCAAAACTGCAAAGTTTGATTAAATAGTATTCATTTGCAATACAGTAGACCTGCAATTAATGATTGTTGTCTTCACTCCAGTTCAAATTAGTAAAACGTTGACAATTAAAAATCGATCACCTTTTCTTTGACTGTCTGTCCGTAGCTAAACTCAATGTATTGAAACATCTGGGAACAAGCCTTGCAGCAGTCTGTCTTACCAGCATCTTGAGTTGTTCTAGTTGCAGCTCCTTGTATGCATATGCTCCTTAGAGACCGACAGGAAAAAGGACACTCCCTGTATAACTGTTAAAGTTTTAAAAGGCTTTTGTTTTAAGTCTTCAAGAAACCAATTGAAAATCAAATCCGGTCACGTGGAACGAGCCGCAAAAAATGTGATGGTAGCAAGAAAATGAGGTAACGAAAAACAAAGCATGGCATTTGATAGATGCGGAAATACTTATATTGCAACGTTTACAGATCGCAAGATCTAAAGTTAAAGCTCTAAACATACGAGGCTCTGCTGGAAGATCTAAAGATATGAGGACTAGTTTTCACAACATGCTTGATATTGCTTGATAAGAAACTTAAAAAGAAAATCAACTAATTTATTGTACAATTAAGTATGTAAAGTCTGAATAGCAGTTCTCTCTAAATAAGATTTTTTCTCTTTAGAGGAACAAAAATAGCTACTTGTGTCAAATAGTTATACATAAAGTGATTCCGTCAATAGAAGCACACAGATTCTAAGAAATATCTGACATCTTTTTAAAAAACGGCGGTGTAAACTGAAATAGTATTGCTGTAAAATAAGACCTTACACGAACATAGAAGAGCACTAGGAATTCATTCAATCTTATCTTGCCTATTTCATGAGGTGAAAATTCCCTTATGCAGTTGTATTTCTACTTTCATTGGAGTGACACTGAAGAGGGTCCTTATTTTGGTCAGTTTCATGCCATCTTTAAACCGGTATTTCATTTCAATCAACGTATCCATCATCTTTGTCCTTAAAAAGAACAATAAGCTAGTTTTATATGCAGAAACACGATAGAGAACAAGATCAAAATAATGAAATTGGCAAATGCCATTTTTAACCAACGCAGCTGACTCCACCTAAAGTCACACTGCTCTATACAAGTTACAATACTGGTCACGCTGAACAACCAAGGAAGACTTTGAGTCAACATGCAATATCAAGCCTCGTTCGTATAATTGTATCATATCCTATCATGCAATTCGCTATGAGCAAATATCCATATTCCATAAGGCCTTAAAAAATACAGCGGAGTCGCATGTTGCTAAGTTGAAAACATGGACGGTCAACAGTGTCCTTGCTATCCAAGACAAGAGGAAGCTTGTTTCTGCGAGTTCTTTCTCGTTGTTTACAAATTCATGCAGCAAATATTTTATTCATCCTTGCAATAAAAGTCGGAAGAGACCCATTCCATCACCATTTTGGAATGCAGCTGACTGTTTTGTCTCTGTATGCGGAGCGACAAGGATTCATGTTGACGAAGTCTCTTAAACGCGCGGTTTACACTCACAATTTTCCAACAAACTATTTGAGACCAAAAGTGCGAACGGGCATCCGATTTATTGCAACTTTCATTTTCCAATCTAATGCAACCACTGCGACCACTTACAGTCTTGCTTCGCAACTTAGTAACAACTTAGAGTTAACTGTATGACAACGACTGAATGAAATGTTTCTTTTACAGAGATAAACATCATGTTTGCGGACTAACAAAACCAAACAAGACAGTAGTCTAAAGCTGTACTTTGGTATTTTGGCTGAGGGCATACGTAGACTCAGCTAAACACCCTGTTTTGTGATTAAGCTATATCTCTGGAGACGTTGTGGATTTGACATACTTATTTGAACCCGATTATGAACATTATCATTAAACATTTATTACCACCATGCATCTCACTATTGTGTTTTTAGTATAACCAAGCTACATCTCTTATTATAATATCCCTATATTATCTTGATATTCCTCCTTTTTATTTTTCATTCACATTCTTCTCTTGAAATCGATCACCTATACACGTCAAATCGGGCATATGACCTAGATAGCTCCTTGTGAGTTCTTTTCATATGTCCGACAGCAAACATACTAAACTTCGAACTACCTACTGTATGTAGTTTTCCTGTTTTGTAAAAAAATAATTGTTACTTGTGGTTCAAGTATTAAATATAAATGTAGTAGTTAATTATTGCTGTGAATGAAATGTTTTGAGTTTTGAGTTTTTGAGTTTAATAACTGCCAACTCTTTAAAAAAGATTTATTACAGTAGAAGATAATGAGTCAATAAGTCTGTTAGATAAAATACTTGCATAAGAATTTAAAACCCTCTAAATGACACTTTATATCAAATCTTTCTTTTGTTCCCACTTGTTATTCCGATGCTGAGAATTTGTTGTTAGGTTTTTGCATCACATATGTTTATCATATTTTAGGTGTAACATCACCAATGGTCAGAGTGGAAGCAAAGTTGCTCTGAGATTATTAACAATCTATACCCCAGAGCAAGTCACAACAGGTGATATATGGTAGCTCGATATCCGAAAATAAATAGTAGATGGTATTGAGTTTTGCTGATAAATTGAGACCTTTTATTGGAGCGACATTAATAAGCTTTTTTCCGTTGGGTTGCATTTCCTTGAGTTTTAGTTCTTCAATACCTGCAGCTTGACACTGTCGTGAACATATGGACAATTCCATGAATGGACAATGTCGTTCTTAATCAGGATTTGATCTTTGAACCCTGCAAAGGGTTATTCTAATGCAGCAAGCTATTTAGCGTATTGTATGTTTAGCGCACTGATTAAATATCTGAGCTTTCGATCTGGCCAGCCTTCGATCTAACAAACAAAGCGCAATAGTTCGTCAACAGAGGTATCTCATTTGTCATTTCAGAAAACAAAATTAAGGAAAAAACAATATATCACTAGGAAAAAACTTAACAAAGTGAGTACCGCTTCAACAGACCGAGGAACCAAAAACCTCAAAAAGCTGATACGGACAAACCAAAGAAAACACTTCTCTCCACTTCATCAAAAGGCTAACTTATACTATCAACAAACTGTGTATGGCGCACACACAACACACGTTTGAAGCTCTTGTTTAGGCAACTCCAAAAATAAAAAGCTATCTAGAGCCAATGTTTCACCTCGGAAATAGGCGATAAACTTTGAGATTAAGGAAGTGGCAAAGAAACCCTCGTGCAAGGAGGGTAGGGGCGGGAATTTAAGACTTTTACAGAAATTTCGAAGGTATCTATATTTGGTTGTCAAAGAAGTTGTTTTAGTTTTGATAAATAGTCAATAGATTTTGGAATCAATCTCTCTACACCAGGGAGAAGGCAGTTTCCTCAACTGGGCAAGGATATCTACGCCAGTTTAGACTTGCCACTGAGCTGATACAATTCTGGCAAACTAGATCGTGAATAAAGCTTAGAAATGAAAAGAAGAAGTAAATTAAAGTATAAAGATCACTTACATCCATTTCAACGTCTTTATTCTTACCAACAGATTTCTTTAATTTCAACTCGATTCTAGACAGAGAGCGAATAAATTGAACTTATGTTAGTAAAGCTACAACTATACCAGAGAAAAGATACTATGAGAGAAGCGAAGAGATCTTGACCGTGTTCTCTATGAAAGCAGTTTTGACAAACTGTACCTACTAATAGGACCCTGTTCAGTCTTTCTATACCCTCATGTTTGTTTATGAAATGCAACTTTCGAGAAAATCAACGCCATACCAAAACTGTTGCAGTTCTCATCCACAGTTTCATGAAATTAGCTCCACTGTTCTTGGTATTTGTGAAAGACCCATATGGGTTTTCAATCAGGGCGGACACATAGGGGGGGGGGGGAGTATTGCAAACCTATTGTCTTAATAAGATGACGTCACATTTTCTAATTGTTTTAGAATAAAAAAATTGTTCTCCAAAATATTGGGGCAGCGACCACCCCCCCTCGCCCCCAGGTTTCTGCCACTGTTTTCAATATCACTTACGATTAAGATCATTAGCAAATTGAAATAAAATGTCCAAGTTCAAATAATCGCAGAGATAGCGCCAACCTTATATAGATAGCAGCATGGTCACTATCAATATTCTAAGATTTTAAGGAGTTCCCCTGATAAAATTATGTTAGACATGATCTAAAGAGGAACAGAGAAACCGATCTAAATATTTCATTCATTTCCCTAGCCTGTCGGACCCTTCTGATTAGAAGATAGGGACATCATTTTATTTCGCGGTAAGGAAAATTGATATTAAGGAAGGAAAAAGGATTTTAGGTTTTCGGTGCTCATAAAGCAACAAAATTAAAAGCAAATACCAGGTCATTGACACTAACTTCCTAATAAACATTTTGTGGTTCAGAATTCACTTATAAATATTGTTTGCATGATGTTTCACATCGCATTTTGAAAATGCCAGCTTATAGGTATGCATACACTGCCCAATCATATCAGTGAATCTAAAAATTCCCCAGAACCGAAATATCATTAAAAGCTTTAAACTACATGAAGATTACTAGGTTAAACTCGGGGGAAACAATACAACTTTATACATACAGTGATGACATACAGTGATGAAGGAAAAATCAAACAAAAAAACAGAAACTACAAGAATGCAGACTAACCTGTGACGTGAACCTTTTTTTCTTTTGTGGCCAGCTGCAAAAACAAATATATTTTATAAATATTGTACCATAAAGGGATTTGTGACAAAGAAACCAGTATGAAAGCAGAATAAAACAACGCACTAGTTTTGGTGTCGCTTTATGAATGCCACCACCATTTTAAGGTATCGAAAATTTCATGGGTGGACAATTTGGTCTCCTGCGCACCAGGGACGACCGGTTTTACTTGCGGGAGACCGCTTACCGTTACAAAGGGTAACCGCCGAGCGACCAAATCGAAAGAGCTGCTGGTCTCCTACCGGGGGAACACCATTTTACCGAAATTGTCCACCCCTGAAGTCCTACTCTATTTTAACAATTCTAGAACCTCGATAATAAAATAAGATACAAGATTTTTAAGGTAACTCTGAACAGAGTTTTCTGAATCAACGGCATCTGAGATTTATTGGTAAACAAACATTATACGAAATACTGTAGGGAAAAAAAAAGACAGAAAATAAAAAATTAATTGATAAGCAATGACTTTTCTAAACAAATATGAAAGCTTTCTTAATCTTAAGTTGGTAGAATGTAGAGTTTACTTTCTAAATAGAAAAATATTGGGGAACAAAATGCAGGAACACGAATTAGTCCAGTTGCTTGTGTCACAATTATTTCTCCCGCTCGATTTGCGTGCCAAAATTGATTTGTTTGCATAAATGTATTTGAATATCCATCTAGATTACGAAAATCATAGGTGCCATTTTTTAGGAAGGCGGAAGGGGTTTAGCGGGGGCGTCAGTCAAGTTCGACCAATGTCAGTTCCTCTGCGGAGGAGCAAATACCATCAGCCGTAATAGATGATAAGAACGAACTTTGAAGTTATACAATTGCTTCCAAATGCTTCCAAATGCTATCTGGGACATGTCTTTAATCATTTACAAATGTAAATTTATAGTCACGTGACTTCTTACCCCCTAAATCCATATAAGGAGATTACTAATCCAATTGGTTCCTGAATGGAGTTTATGAATGAAAATTATTGATATTCACGCCAAACTCATTTCTATAACTTTTAATATCGAAGCGAAACATCAAGAGGCAGGGCTCCGGGAGCATATCGGGTATTGGGGGGGGGGTGGTAGAGAGATTTAGGGGGGCACAAGATGCTAAAAGATAAGCACAATATTTACTGGATTGTTTTAAGTACATTATGGGATTTATTGTAGACTAAGCCACATCAGCCCTCTCAACATTCTCCTTGTGCACTCCTGCGATAGAGAGGGGCAAAAAAACTCAACTTATAAAATTAACTGAATAATTGAAGTTTAGAGTCCAAGGATTAACTATCGAGGTTCCATGACCGTTAGCATGAATAACATCTTTAAGCAAAAAAGATTATGAAAACAACAGGGATGATATGACGTGTGAATGCAATAACATGGAATAATGTTGACAGGGGAACAATCAGCGGAAGTAGCAACAGAATAAACATCGAGACCACATGCAAAACAGCCCAAAATAAAAAACTCTAAAGAAATTCGAAAGGGTCAGAAAAAGTTTGGAAAATTTCTCAAGGCCAAAGATTATTAAACGTTGTACAAGAACAAAATTGTGTATAAGTATCTAGAAACAGACCTTTTATACAGGTAGTCTTGGTCAAACAGCCTGAATCATTTTCTTGCTGATCTGGATTTTATGAACATTTTGAGTTTAACTTTGCAGAACTTGAAATAAAATCGTAGGTATTGTTTATCTTTATTTTACTATCTTCTTATTACTACTTTCTTCGATTCTAAAGAGCAATAGATATATTAAAGATACGGTTATATATCACTTTGAATGCAAGGCATGATTGTATCAATGGTTGGCAATGGATGAGCCAAAAATGTCCTGTATAATTTGCCTGCAATTCGGAGATGGCCTAATGGTCTCTAATCCTGAACGCCAATGTCTTGAAATGGTAAAAACATTTTCAACACAACGTGCTGCTTTTGGAGAATCAAAATTTGCAAACCTCTCACAAAGAATACATGCGTTGTCGGATGATGAGTTTTTTGCAAGCTCTTACCATTCATCTTGCTACAAGAATGTTGTACACACAGGTAAGCTCAAAAGAGCTGAAAAACGATTTCAAGAATGTTCACTTGGTGGCTCTGTTGCACCGCCAAAAAAAGGCCGGCCTCATGCAAGCAAACTACCAATAGCAGAATTTGAGAGCAGCCGTTCTAGAAGATCGTCAGAAAAACGAATAATGAAAACTTGTGTTTTTCGGTGCAAGGAAGCAGACAAAGGACCACTTCATCGAGTTGAAAGTGTTTCTATGGGGGAAAGGTTTATGTTGCTTAAAGATCAAAGTCCAAACGAAAATTGCAGAATCGCTCTGGCAAACATCAATGAGCCTTTAGACTGTGCTGCATTTGATCTCTACTACCATCGAAATTGCTTACGTGACCAAGAAAGGAAGTCAAAGCCGATGGAAGGCGCAGGTGTGCATGAAACAGGGAATTATATTGCTGACATTGAAATTATAAATGAACTAAGATGTTCGCTGGAAAACGGCACTGTTACCAATATAAATGAAGTTAACCAAGAATACAACAATCTTCTGTGCGAGTTTGGTGCCAATACCTGGTCAGGTGACAGGAAAAAGTACTTGAAGGGTCTTATCGTTAAGCACATTCCTGATGTTAAATTTGTTAAACCTCCAAGGAAAAATGAAAGCGAGCGGATCTTAAGTGAAGTATCACTTGGCAATGCTGTTTACGTTTATGAAGAGGATGCCAACGATGAAGAAGATATAAAGTGCCTTTCAAAGGCTGCTTCTGTGCTTAGACGAATCATATTAAATACAGAGAAATGGAGGTTTGAAGGATCAATGACTGACTTTGAAGAGCCTAGAGAACTGACTTCATTTATCAAATGGATTATAATTGGAACAAAGTCTCAGGCCATTGGAAGTGTTCGTGATGTTACAAATACAACGGCAGCTAAGATTATTGCCCAACAAATCCTGGAAGCCACCAAAACAGACAGACAAGCAACATACAACCCATCTGTTAAAGATCAAATTTACCGAAAGTTTAATGAGACGCCTCTTACCGTTAGTCTTTCGCTGATGGTCCACAACCAAACAAGAAGCAAGAAACTTGTAGACTTTCTTTCAAGGTTAAACCTTGGTATTAGCTATGAGTCTACAATACGCCTTGAAAAACGTATTGCAACTGGAGTTGCTGAGCGGATGGAGCAATGCGGTGGCTTTGTTCTCCCTCATTTTATCAAGAAAGACAAGCAGCCTTTCTTTGCTATAGACAACATAGACTTCCAAGAGTGCACGCCTGATGGACAGAATACGCTCCATGGAACAATCATTGTTGTAAATCAATCTGGCGAAGGAGAAGGCATTGCCATAAACGACCCTCTTGTCGTTCCAAGGAAACCAAAACCGATCAATATTAGCATCGCTAACGAAAAGGTTCCGCGAATTGTACCACCAAAAGAAGGAAAGCGGTTCACCAACTTCTACTTTGATTGTAACCCAAAGACAGCCCAGAAATACAAAGTATTGGATGCAATTTGGTTTTTTGCATGTTATGCACACACAAAAATTCAAGTCAGGTCTACGACAGGCAGTGTTGACGGTACTCTTGGATCAAATATGGAGACCACAAATCCTAATGAGATTTGCAATGAAATGCCGACTTGGGCAGCCACTAATTCCTTAGTTGCCAGTAAAAAAGAGCCTTTTTTAAAAACAAGCAAAACGTTAACTGGTATCATTGCACCTTTATTGAGAAGCTCTCCAACTGATTACACAACTCTGTATAAAGCGTTATGCCTTACTCAAGGAATTTCAGCCGTTGTAGCTGGAGAAGGTCACAAAACTATCATCACCTTGGATCTTGATTTATACGAAAGGGCGGTCAAGTTGCAACAAGCAAATGGAATTTGCAACTGGTTTTTGCGTATTGGGGAGCTACATACGTGTTTTGCATCGCTTCATGCACTTGGGAAATACATAGAAGGCAGTGGCATCGAAACTGTAAGCATTGAAGAGGGAATTTACTCGCCTGCAACAATACGACAAATACTAGCTGGAAAAAACTACAATAGAGGTGTCGAATACCACATTACAAACGCTTTGGCAATTTGGAAAATGCTGTTTGAAGTTTTACTCGAGGATAAGCCAAACTTAGAAGAGAGCATAAACGACTGTAATATGTTTCGACAAAAATTGCAGGATGAAAATTCTGATGTTGATGATCTCTGCAAAAAGATAGAGAATTACTTAACGGATTGTCATGTATTTTCCGAACAAAAATTCTCCAGTTCCATGCAAAAGTTTCTTCTGAGTTACCTTCATCAAATTGGAAGTCTATTGCGTCTGATTAGAGCTTCACGTCAAGGTGATTTAACACTTTATATGGTTGCCCTCGAAGAACAAGTCAAGTACTACTTTGCACATGACTTGTACAAGTATGCACGTCTAGTGCCATATCACCTGGCTGAACTACAACAGTTGAAAGACGAAGATAGGCAAACTTGGGCGACACTCGGTGACAATTTCAGCGTAATAAGGTCAGGCATCCCTTTTACAAATTTGTTTGTTGACCAAACGCTAGAACAGCAAATTCGCGGCCTTAAAGTTGCTGGGGGAATCACTGGCATTACTCAAAACGAATCGGCATTGGAAAGATACCTTTTAATTGCCCCAGAGCTCAAGCGTTTGGTAGAAAGTTTCAAAACATGTTACACTATAAACAACACAAAAGCAAAGAAAATGCACCATCAGCTAACAGGGTCGATGGCATCAAGGCTACAGCGGAATGCAGCAAAGATAAATATTGGAATACTTCAGCACTGTAATGGCAATCCATTCTCTGTAGATACAGGTTTAATGAATATAGCCTCAAATATGGCAGTGTCATCCACAGCAGAAAAAGATATTGTTGAAAGGGATAAAAAAGGGGAAGCAGCATTCAAAATTTATGTTGCCAGTAGGCTAGTGAAGGCAACAGCAAAGATTTCCATGTGGGACCCTATGAAGAAGCTTTC